GAAGTGGTTAAAAGACCGATTTTCAGGCTTTTTTTCACATCAGAGAAAAAACTGGGGTTCAACCTCCCACCACCACACTGTGCGATTGTGAATCAAGATTTCTCTTTGAAGTTCGCATAACACTTCTTGTCTGAAAAATACTGCATTAATGGAAAACCGCAGAACAAAACCACAAAATAAACAATTTGGCAGATATCATGTTTTTCCAGGATCTATTCCACATTGGGGTTTGAAATGATTACATTTTAAGGAAGACCTATGGTACTATGTTTATTAGGGTTAGTTTCTGAACACATTTGGAGTAAGACGTCACCTTCTAGCTCCAAGAAGAGATTTTTGAAGGATGCTGAGTCCTCACGTGGAAGAACGAAGTCTAGCTCATTGCCGACGTTGCCTTCAAGCTCAGCCTGGCGTACATGTTTACTGACAACGGCTTTCACAGAATCAATGGCACATGTCTGGTTACGGACTAAAGTTAAATGGTATCCCACACCAAACCTGTCATGAATGAATCAAATTGATTTGAAACTTTTAAAAATGAGGTAAATATCATCTGGGTGTCCTATTTATGAATGACCTTCTGAATCTCAGCATATACAGGTATGTGTAATTGACAATTTCAGTAGTAAACATCATGGCTTCCCTATCGGACAGTTGGATCATTTAGCTTGGCAGAGTGTGTAAGATCAATCCAGATGTCTACTACTTGAATCCTCCTTTGGCTATCACTCTGCATGAATACATGCAGCTTCACAATGAACAACTCCTCAACATATGTAAAGGATTTTGCATGGAGTGCTTCTATTAGGAATCTACGTGTATCACTGAACAAATAACATTTACTTGAATTACAAGAGAGGATGCTACAAGAATTTCTACTCTCCTCACACGGTCCTCACTAATTTTCTCTCACCGGTTTTTCAGGAAGAGAGAGGTGCCACTGCACCTCAGCTGTCCGTTGGCCATGATAGCGATGCGGTCGCCAAGGAGATCTGCCTCATCCCTGCATCGTTCAAAGTGAAAGTTTAAAAACAACACCCCTGAAATGTGTGGTTTTGTGGACAGGCATATTGAATTCGGCCAGAGACAGTAATTGAAAATCAAGATAGAAACTAGTAAGGTGGCTAAGTAATGTTACAGTGTATTTAATACGACTCTGGCCCAACTCAGACTTAACATTATGTAGGACTACATGGTACAGCACAGATGCAGTTCGATGAAAATTGCAAGTTTCAATCTTTCATTTTTTGGCTGCAAAAATTTAGTCAGAATTACACAGGTCAGGTCAGAGTCTACACAGTTCTTGTGTGAACCATACCAGATTTGGCAATTATCTTACATGAAGTGTGTAGTGAGGACCACGGTTCGCCCCTGTCGGTATTTTAGCAGTAAGTCCCAAGTGGCGCGTCGCGCGTACGGGTCCATGCCCGATGTTGGCTCATCTAGAATCACTACCTCAGATCCACCAATCAGAGCAATGGCGCAACTACACGTGTTAAATCAAACACAAAAATTATAAAAAACATAAGTTATTTCCAAAGCTTTCTGTTCCAACATTTTTACATTAATTTCACCCCTTGCGATATCATTTGTGCGATTCCGCTTGGGGCAGCATGTGATTACTCATGACAACTTCAGTTTGTGCACCGTATGAAAGCATGGTGATTTGCAAACACATGCAGTAAATGACACCATTCATATCCCAATTTGTACAGGGCCAAAGCATGTCCGATAAACCTCAGATACGCTAGGTGTTAGATCTGACAAAGTGTGACATCTCTGAGGCTATTTGGCGGAGCCACACTGTCCTGGTCTTGAATCGCCAGGGGGGGGGGGACAAACCTCTTTTCCCTCAAAAACAACTGTCCAATTTGTTAATCCATTTCATCCATTTGATTGATTTTGAACTTTCTCTTCTTCATTCTATCATTTGAAACAAAGACAATTTGAGCTGTACACATGCAGATGAACGCTGGAAGCAACAGACTTCACCATTAATGATGGCATACCTTAGTTTCCGTTTCATGCCTCCAGACAGATTGGTGGACTGGGCATGGGTCTTATCAACCAGCTGAAGGTCAACTATCATGGTCTGCACTTCTTGGTCAGCTGCCTTGCCTGATTTTCCCTACAGTATCATGAACCAAAATGAAAATGCTGATTTGCAAGAGTCTTTTGAACAGTATCTGTGGGACATTCTTACCGCAACCTCATGCTTTCCACACTCAATGGCGCATCCTGAGAATGATAGTTGTTTTTGAAGCAGGCCACGCACAGTGGCCATGTTCAAGTTCAACACAAGGTTTGCCTTCACAGGCTTCACAGACTTTGTGTGTGAGTACGAAATAAATGAGGGATTAGCATGTTTGAAAGTTAGCCTGAGGTGAGTCAAGGCAGGCTTGACATTTTAACCTGTCAGTTTTGCCCGATCTAGTTTAATAACGGAATAAATGCGTGTTGGCT